GCAGATAGGTTCTGAAAATAGGGAAAACTTAATTATTTCCTTTTTAGTATGTCAATTACATTTATCAATGCAATAAATTTTGATCTGATGTGGTGGTCCTTTTAGGCCATGCATATAATAATTAAAATACATGTACTACCTCTGTGTGTCCATCCCCCGTAAATGGAGCCTTCCTGACAACACACTTCTTCACCAACCTTATCATCGAACTTCCTCTCCATATTCAGCACCAGAATGAAGAACGCCCGCGGACTCAGAAAAATCTGGTGTGAGGCATAATATGAACACTGTCCTGCAAAGTCAGTCATGGTTATTTTTTTATCTGGATCTTCTGAAATATCTTCTGCACCTATCTGTAAATTTCCAAATATTTCTGGACTATGACGAATATCTTTTCTTTCCTTCATAACATCTGCTACATTTTCTGGTGATGTGGCCCCCTGTGGTTCATGGGATGAAGTTGTTTTAATGTTGGTATCATCATGATATCTGTCCACTGCTTGATGCTTCAGTCGTATTGCCCTCATCATCAGGTGTTTCCATCTTTTCCTGTATTTTCTCATCATCAGCTGCATTTTCTGAATGGTAATCAGGAACACTCTGCTTCATATCTTTTTTATCAAGTCTGAGTTTAAAGTGTTGCTTTTGGCTTGAAGTATTTGCTGCAAATGAAAATTAATGCACATTTAACACCTTCTCACTTTGTTGTTTCTGTACTTTAAGTAAACAGACTATTATTCTACTTTATATAAATCTGCAACTTAAAAAATAAATTCTAGGGACAATGAGAGTATTGAACTCCCAAAATGATATCCACAGGCAGGTTCCATATGAGTATTATGGTGAATTCTTTGTTTTACTATTGAAGAACTAAATATCTGTCCAATCTTAACATAAAGAAGGATGTAGGAATGGCATAAATTTTATTTTATAGTAAATATAGTAAATATTATGTAAAAGTGTCATTTAACTTTATTCATTTGTACAGGTGGAATAGAAAATATGAGATGGGTACCACCAATATAATGGTAGTTTCTATGTTTTGCATTAGGAAACCATAAACATGTGTCCATTCAAAGAGTAAAACAGAAGGTTTAAAATTTCTCTGTATAACAAAGATTCTGTGAAAGTTTCATTAATTTTATTAAGTAGTAACAATTTTTATTCAGTGGTTAAGCGGTAATGAGGAGTTGCAGATAAGAGATGGATACCCCAAAACGTAATAAATGGACAGATGGAAGGATGGATAGGAGGAGACCCTCAACGCTCTTACACACCCTACTTTCCAAGAAGATAAAAAGGGGATATGGTGCTTCCACATACAATTCAGCTTGTCTTGCCCTGTGGTTCTTGAGAAGATTTTTTAATGACTCCACCCTATTTGTGTCTTTTCTTGTTTGTCTCACCGTGTGGGACTTGGTCCGTCATTTTAAGAATTGAAAATCCTCTTCACCCAAGGATGCTATGTACCAAGTTTGGTTAAAATTGGCCAAGTCGCTTTTGAGGAGAAGTCAAAAATGTGAAAAATTACAAACAGACAGACAGGTAGTCGAGCAATGGACAAAATGTGATCAGCCATCAGCTCAGGTGAGCTAGAAACTACCTTGGATGCTTTCTGTCACATCAAAGACATCTGAGTGGATATCGATTCCTCTAGTTGACCTGATGTTTTTCTTTATTTCTTCAAGGTCAATGCCCTTCAGTCTCTCTAACAATGTGGTTTTCCCACTACCAGCACACCCTATTATCATCCCAGAGGCATGGTACATGGTTTTCTTCCCTTTCTTTAAATTCTCAATGAAATTCGTCACTGATTTGTCTCCCTTTAGGATAATCTGCATTGGTATTCCTACTATAATGACAAAACTCTAACATTAGAAAGCTGCGACGAATCAAACTCATGTTGACAAACAATCATGGCTAGAAGCCTCTGATGAGGCTGTACTCTACTGGTTTGTACTTATAACAAAGGAAAAGAAGAGTAGCACTTGGACATGAAAATTTACAACTGCAATAAATAGGGTCTTTGGTTTAGTCTTTTTTTGTAGCTATATTTATTGCAATCAGATTAAGATTGTAAAAAGAGTAATGTAACCTTTTAAAAGATTTTAAAGAAATTTTAATTTAAGTAACCATAGCAACTTCATTCAACAATATCCAAAAAATAATTTTAAATGAATTATGTATCTCAGTGTAATCTATTTGCATGTCAAGTTACATTGAAACTAAAGCAAAACTATAGGACAAGCGTTTTGAATGTATTTCACAGAAATTTCTATTTTTGGTAACCACAGCATAAACTTTATCTAATTAAATAGTTAAGGTGAGATAGAAATAGACCTACATTTCCTAAATACAGCTTCATGGAATGACTGGTCCTCCATTGTTGGGTTCATGAAAATATTTTCTCCAAGTCTTTTTAAAAACTCCTCATTTTTTTCTGGCAGCAACCAACAGCAAACTTCATCCTCTCCTCTCTGATAATTCCAGGATCTACAGAACTCAGAAATATTTTTCTTTTTCTGCCAAGTCAAGAAAATATCAGTAAAGTTCAATCCAAAACGCTTTGAAATTTTCAGGAAAGTAATGTACTTGAACAGCTCAGTGGAAAAACTGATCTCTGATTCATTGAGTTTCAGAATTGGTTTGTAATTTTCCAAATCTGTAAGAACAAATGGCTTTGTGATTTTCTTTGAGTGAAAAGTTTTGGCAACAGCATTATATTTGGTAATCCAATTTCCTTCTTTCATGTTTATTTTGTAGGAATTGGAAATAAGAAGGCACATCAATAGTGTATCTCCACCTACAAAAAAAACAAGGAATATATACATATATACAAGCCCAGAAAACACCTTGAATGTATTAACTTCTCTGGCTATTAAAATGTTATACAGAATGGAGTAATCTTCCCATAAATTTATATCAGTATTAAACAAATAACAGGTCTCCTTACATTGATGTAAATGTTTCAGAAAGGGATGTAAGTGTGTCATGGACATCCACATAACACAGTTAACCCTATGTACAAAAATTCCTTTATATGTATAATCATGATAATTGTGTAAATTAGTAAAACCGTCCATCACATTAAATGAATATTATGGCTGATACACTTCATTCAAGAATTTGATTGGGGTGATTTGTGGCCTTGAACTTGCTAAAGTGACCTTGGGTAAAGGTCGACACATATATCATCAATGTATCCAGTATATGCTAGTTTTTAGTTCCGTGTTTTCCGATTATGTAGCTTCAGACAGAAGATTATCTCTTTTTTTGTTTGGATCAGGTAAATAAAGACCATTGTTATAAATAATTTATTGATAATTGGAACAAAATTGGATCAAATATTTAAAATATATTCCATTTGCTACATACATAAAATATTTAACATGTTTAAGAAACTACTTAAACTATTACCATCTATCCTGTGAATGTTGTCAAACAATGTCTTTATATTTCTAAGTTGATGTCTGCTGTGATCCTCAGAGTTAATACACTCCACACACAAGGAAACACCACACGGGGTACAGAACTGGTACAGGGGAATTCTGGGATGTTTTCTACATTTGATGTCCTCCAGAGGGACTCCTGTTAAAAATAAAAAAAAAAGTCATATTGTAAATACTTTTAAAAAATCCTGATTAATCTTCATAAAACAATGTCAGTTTGGTACTCATATATAAAACAAGAGGCCAAAGGGCCTTAAATCGCTCTTCTGATAAATTGTACAATCTATCACTTCTATTTGAAGCCTCCAACCCTAAGTATCCTAAGACCCAAGTTGCATCAACTGACAAAGTTTGATCATTCTTAGTCAATTAGGACTGAAAATCTTTTTAATTATAAAGCTATAAAAACCATAAGTATATCACAGTGACCTATATTAAGACTGAAGTTTTCTGAGGACTCAAGATGCATTGAAAAACAAAGATTGAAGATTCTCAGCCAATTAGTATTTAAATATTCAAAAGTAGGTCATCGTGACCTCTTCTTTGTCTACATTCTTTGAAAACCCAAGATACATCAACTGACAAAGTTTTTGATTCTAAGCAATTGGGCTAAAAAATTATAAAGCTATAAAAACCATAAGTATATCACAGTGACCTATATTAAAAATTTTAAATTTTCTGAGGACTCAAGATGCATTGAAAAACAAAGATTGAAGATTCTCAGCCAATTAGTATTTAAATATTCAAAAATAGGTCATCGTGACCTACTTCTTTGTCTACATTCTTTGAAAACCCAAATACATCAACTGACAAAGTTTGATGATTCTAAGGCAATAAGTCCTTGAGATATTCAAAAGTAGGTCACCATGACCTCTTTTTGGGCGTCCCTCTACGAAAACCCAAGATGCATCAACTTACAAAATTTGATGATTCTAAGCCAATAAGTACCGAAAATACTTAAATAAAGCCATAAAATGTAGAAGAAATCACCGTGCGTCTTTTTTTGGGCGTCCTCTCCCAAAACCCAAGATGCATCAACTTACAAAGTTTGATGATTCTAAGCCAATAAGTACCAAAGATACTTAAATAAAGCCATAAAATGTCAAAAGTAGGTCACCGTGACCTTTTTGGTGTCCTTCCGAAAACCCAAGTGCATCAACTTACAAAGTTTGATGATTCTAAGCCAATAAATATCAAAGATACTTAAATAAAGCCATAAAATGTTGAAAGTAGGTCCAGCGACCTTCTTTTTGGACATCATTCCTCAAAAAATAAAAGATGCATCAACTGACAAAGTTTGATGATTCTAAATCAATTAGGGCTGAAAATCTTTTTAATTATAAAGCTATAAAAACCATAAAATATCACAGTGACCTATATTAAGACTGAAGTTTTCTGAGGACTCAAGATGCATTGAAAAAAAAAAATTAAGATTCTCAGCCAATTAGTATTTAAATAAAAAGTAGGTCATCGTGACCTACTTTTTTTGTCTACATTCTTTGAAAACCCAAGTACATCAACTGACAAAGTTTGATGATTTAAGGCAATAATCCTTGAGATATTCAAAAATAGGTCATCATGACCTACTTTTTGGGTTTTATTCTCTAAAAACCAAAGATGCATCAACAAACAAAATTAAACCAGTTAGTACCATAGATACTTAAATATTTCCATTTCTAATTTTTTTCGCTGCGATAACTCTTTTAAAGTTGTCGGAGTTTATTTTTGAAATTCTGCCGGAATGTAAATTAGGGAGGTCGTTTGGGAGGAGCTAAGGTGGCCTAAAATGCATGCAAATCTCGTGTGCATCTGTCTCTGTGTCTGACGCTAAGGAGGAAAATGTGCAAGTAAATTTGGGCTCCTAGGTATTTGCTCATGTGCGAGGAAATGAAATTGGCATGGCAGTCCTGGTGTAATTTAAACCTATTAGTCTACATTTTTAATGTCAAAGTCTATAATTTTATTTCACAATGAAATGGAAATATAAGGAAACATGTCTAGTTTTGAGAGTATGCCAGGGACACCAAAAAAAGTGGGAAAAATGGAAAAATTTTTTGCATAACGGGCTTCGCCCGTTATGCAAATTATCCATGTTTCCACTTTTTTGATCCCCCCGGGATACTCTCAAAATAACATAATTTCCCTTTAAAAAAAGCCATAAAATGTCAAAAATTAGGTCACCATGACCTACTTTTTTAACATATTTCTGGAAACCCAAGATGCATCAACTTACAAAATTTGATGATTCTAAGCCAATAAGTACCAAAGATACTTAAATAAAGCCAAAAATGTCAAAAGTAGGTCACCGTGACCTCTTTTGGTCGTCCTCTCCAAAACCCAAGATGCATCAACTTACAAAGTTTGATGATTCTAAGCCAATAAGTACCAAAGATACTTAAATAAAGCCATAAAATGTCAAAAGTAGGTCACCGTGACCTCTTTTTTGGGCGTCCCCCTACGAAAACCCAAGTGCATCAACTTAAAAAATTTTATGATTCTAAGCCAATAAATACCAAAGATACTTAAATAAAGCCATAAAATGTAAAAGTAGATCACTGTGACGTCTTTTTTGGGCGTCCCTTCCGAAAAAACCCAAAATGCATCAACTTACAAAGTTTGATGATTCTAAGCCAATAAGTACCAAAGATACTTAAATAAAGCCATAAAATGTCAAAATAGGTCACCGTGACCTACTTTTTGGGCGTCCCTCTCCGAAAACCCAAGATGCATCAACTTACAAAGTTTGAGATTCTAACCAATAAATATCAAAGATACTTAAATAAAGCCATAAAATGTTGAAAGTAGGTCACAGCGACCCTTTTTGGGAAAGATTCCTCAAAAAATAAAAGATGCATCAACTTACAAAGTTTGATGATTCTAAGCCAATAAGTCCGTAGATATTTAAATAAAGCCATAAAAAGTCAAAAGTAGGTATTCGTTTTTCCGAAGACCCAAGATGCATCAACTCACAAAGTTTGATGATTCTAAGCCAATAAATATCTAAGATACTAAAATATAACCATAAAATGTTAAAATAGGTCACCGTGGCCTATATTTTGGTCGAAATTTTTCAAAGTCACCAGATGCATCTGCTACCAAGTTTGATGATCCTAGGTCTGAAGGTATTCAAAATATGCCTTTTAAACAATTCAAAAACAAATACCTGCAAAATTCAGAAAATAGGTCACAGTAACCTACTTTTTTTTAAATATGTTTTAAGGTCCCAAGATGTATCAATTTACAAGATTTGATGATTCTAAACCTCTCAGTGTCTGAAATAATTGGGTTTAAAAGTTTCAAGCTGACATTGTTCAAGGACCCAAGATGCATCAAACTGACAAAGTTTGATGATCATAGGCCTTAAAGTGCCCAAATATGCCTTCCAATCAATTTGAAAACAAAATTTAAAAAGTAGGTCACCGTGACCTACTTTTAGTTTTCATGATGTGAAGTCCTGAGATGTATCAACTTAAAAATTTGATGATCCTAGTCCTAATAGTAAGCAAAATATAAATGTTTTAATTATTTGTAAATTTAGGTCAACTTTGAAGTGACCTTGAGACCATGGTCTTTCCCCAAGGTCATGCATTGAACAATTTATTTAATCTTCAACATACTGATCCTTGTATGTAAGTTTGGTGAAAATCTGCCTGGTGGTTCTGGAGAAGAAGATTTTTTAGCAACCAGTACTTTTGGTTTTGTTTTCCTGATTATCTCCCCCTTTTTTAAGGATCCCAACCCTTATTTTAGTATAAAGGGTAGCCCTTGGGCCATGGATACCCTTTGACAAATTTGACACTGATTGGCCAAGGGGTTCTCGAGTTATGGCCCATATTCTAAAAAGTTAATGACACCGCACCACGCACAAATGGCCATAGCATTAGCTCTTTGAGCCTATGGCTCAGAAGAGCTTAAAAGTCAAGATATTTATGATATTGGAGTAGTTAAAATATTTTGAGTCCAAAAAATTTTAAATCAAATTTTGATATTTACATTCATTAGAAAAACCATTTGTGATTTTCATTATGCCAATAAATACTAAGGGAAAATT